AGAGGAAAACTTGCTTTCTTTTGTGGCATACGACAATAAACATCTTGAATCTTTAGTTATACAACCTTGTGTTGTATGATGATAATAAATCCCCTTGATTCTTATTATTAAAAGCTATCCAAAGGGGACATTTAAGGAAATAGGATGTTATGGTGTTTAAATATCAACACCACCATATATATTTGGTGGTGACATACTGTGAGAGATCTGACACAGTGTGGTTATGATTTAGAAAATTAAAGTGTTAATTCATTAAAATGGAGTATGGTTGTATTTAGGCATATCCCAGTCCTGCTAGCAGGGATTGCTCAGAGGTATTTTATATGTATGTGTGTATCAATCAGCCTTCACTTCACATATTACACATGTTGAACTACATCACCTAAAGTGCTTTTGGGCCTAATTCAACTTCTAACTTACAGTTTCTGAAGACGTGTAAAGTGTTCCCAATGGTCTAAAACTATTATTACTAGTATGAGCAGTGCAGTTTTGCACACGGGCAGTAATCTTTGGATACAGATAGCAGTCAAACTTCACACACACCATTCATCTGCAGCATTATTGAGTAGGCTGGGGCTGGGTCGGTAGTTCCGCTTCCCCTTCGCCATAGCGGAATTATCCAAGGGTCGAAAAGATAGAAGAAAAGTTGCATTGTAAATAGTTGCAGTCACGTTTTTACTAAGTTATTTGTACGCGTTGTATACCATCAAGGCCCCATGTGACAGAGGACTTACTTTTAACGGATTTACAAACGTTTTCCAGACCGTCGAGGATCGTCCGGGAGTCAAGTTGTATTCAAGTTTAAGTGGCGAGGAACCTCCGGTGAGCTCTGCTGCTCCTGCGTCGTCTTCGTTAGCCTGCACATAAAGCGGATCGGTACTGGCTACTTTGATACTTTTCAGCCCCTGTAGTGTCATGTAAACCTCCTCCTGCTAATGTTGAGTTCCCGGGGGAAACCCGTAAGTTTGGTCGGCATGCTAGGTACGGTTAGTGAGCTGAACGCTTAACACCGACTTCATAGTTAGTGTAGCTGGTCGAGCTAACGTTAGCTTATCGCTAGCAAACTTGTTGGCCAAGTAGTTAATGCTATCGTTAGCTCGCTAGCCGCCCCTGTTGTTACTCATTTGAAGGGCATTTTTGAGTAGACAGAAACCCCGGTATATGGGGAAACGATGGGCTGAATGTCGATGTGTTGACATTCTTTATCTTAGCAAGAAGTAATGAAGTGTCCGCATTTTATTTCTGTATCAAGTGCACTGAGAGAATAGCAACTTGCATTATTCTTTTATCCTCCTCTGGTCTCCTTTTACACTCACTTTCAGATACGATGTAGCACACAAAGAAGAAACTACTTGGCTAAAAAATGCTCTCAACAGTTCTCAGGATAATGCTGAGCTCTTACAGGGGGAATACTGAGCCAAAATAAGCCGTGCTCACTGTTTTTATTACGCTAACACAGTCCCCATTGAGTTAACTTTAAATATTAGCCTCTGCTCTCATTATTAGTGAGACATTGCTACATTGTAATTGTTCATACAATCCGTGGCTGTTTATTTGTACTTCACATTGTGGCAGTTCTTCTAAGTTTTACTGATATAATGACATGATATTGAGAACATATCACACTGTGTTTTGGGTTTCTCTCTGTTCAGTGGCCCATGAGGATGGTTGTTTTCCCAATCACCAAACCAGCTTCCCTAATACACCCCTTAATACTCCTTCACACAGCTTCAATAGCAATGGCACTTCATTGTTTCATAGTAGAAAGTAGTTTTCTGATTATTAGTCACTACATCCTGCTGCATTTGTAACATTATTACTGTGTGTTTATGGGCTTATGAATGTCTGATTTTCTTCCAGGTACATTTTGGTGCTTCCTTTTCTCTTCTGCTGTCATTTCTGGCACATCCTCCTGTAGCGCATGAGCACACCCGTGCCTCATGTTGATGTGAGCGCTGCCTCGCTCCCTATCTGTCTGTGGTACCCTGTCCATCCTCGTCCGCTGTGTCCCCCCCCCC